TGATTTACGGCATCTTGGATTGTCCAAGAGAGCCTTTCCATGCCAATGATGAAGAGGTAAGGGGCAAGGGGATCCCCTTGCCTGAGCCTTCGCCCATGTAGGATTGACGAGAGTTTTTCCCCATTCTAAAGGATGTCAATGCTGCTCTCTTGGATGGAAAACATAATCAAATTAAAAATCCCCCTCGGGAACCCAAACAAGAGAAAGGTTCTTTCAAGAAAACCCTAGTCCAAGATGTCGTAGGCTTTATGGAGATCCAACTTGAGTAGCATCATGTCTTTCTTTCCCTTCTTGCAATTCATAGTGTGCACGATCTCTTGAGAGAGGATAACATTGTCCAGTGTTGACTTTCTCGATAGGAAACAATTCTAATATGATGCGATAATCTTTTTCATGATTAACCTCATTCTGTTCACCAACACTTTAGACACGATCTTAGCTTGAAAATGACATTCAACAGTGTGATGGTCCTGAAGTCACATGCGTTCTCCGGTCTCTCCTTTTTTTTGGGATGAGGGCAATAAACGCGTCGTGAAGCTTTGTAGGCACTCTGCTAGTATCGATTACCCTGTTCACAAATTTTGCTAGAGCTGTCAAAACAGGCTAACCTAGCCCATATGGGATGTTCCATCTCGAGTTCATCCAGGACTGGCCCGACTCGTTTTTATACAGGTTGAGATTTTCCAAACCCAACCTGTGTTGAACGGGCTGACTAGCTAAACGAGCCAACTTGTCAGCCCATTTGTTTATTTTTTAATTTATATTGTTAAAATTTTTAAAATTTTGTAAAGCTTAGGAATTAAACCCCCAACCTCTACATTAACAACTAACACTATTTCCATCCAAACACATTCAATTCTTTAAACACATACCCATAATTTATTTATTTTATATTTAATGCTAATATAGTTTACATGTAATATTTTTATTTTGTGATTATAATATTATTAAGTTATAAAGTTTATAGAATATATAATTTATAACTTTATATTATTAATATGATAAATAAACTTTATATTATTGTTATATAAAGATACAATTAATTGTATTAAGTTTATAAAATATATAATTTATAACTTTATATTATTTATATAATAAATACACTTTATATTAATGTTATATAAAGATACAATTAATTGTATTATTTAATACTTGTAATAAATGTAATATAAATAAACTATATATAATGCTGATGAATGATCTAATTATATATATATATATATATATATATATATATATATATATATATATATATATATATATATATGGTTCCAGTAGTGATAAGTTAAGTGAAAGGTCAAGGTTCAAGTTTTGTTAGCAACAACATTTTAAATTATTGATACGATACCCAATTACACAACAAATTTGAGGGGGGAGGGGGGGGGGGGGGGAGTTATACGGTTTGGCTCGTGTAACCCACGAGCCAACTCGTATAACCCGTACCCCACACGAGTTATATGGGCCAGGTTGGAAATTCTCCAACCCAGCCCGTCTAAAATATGGGTTACTAGTGCACATTAGTCATTGTTTCATTGGTGCTAGAGAAACTAGGGTTTCATAGGAAAACTACCCATATGGACCATGTTTACGATCAAAGGAAAAAAGGGGGACGAGAGCTATTGGGGTTCTATGGCTGGTCGACAAGCCATCAGGAAAAGGATAGACGGTGGCGACTAGAGACGCTGTTGACGATGGCGACATGGTGGGGGTGGCAAGTGGAATGGTGGGATGTGGAGCATTAATCAATGATACATAATTCGCTAATGTAGGAGTGGCACTTGGGCCCTAAAGGAAGGGTGGGGGGGGGGGGGGGGGGATTATCCAATAAGAGGTGCCAATTTGGTGATGGGGGATGCTTCGAAAATAATTGTTCTGGCAAGTTTTGAGGCTCAGGCTCACCTCCCCGAATGAGTGTCCTTAGTTGGAAATGTTGTGGCTTAAATGATCCACATATAGTTCACGAAGTTCAGGGTTTCACATCCTCTAAGAAATCCAATATGTCTTGATGGAGGTTAAAGTGGGGCGTGTGCATGTAGAGAGGCTCCGCATTAAGATGGAGTATGAGGGGTTATTCTATGCATGTTGATAATGTGGGGCTAAGTGGAGGGTTTGGGCTTGTTCTGAAAAGTGAATTCCGTGGCTAGCTTGCTTAACATTTCTCATAACCACATTGATATGATCATTTCATTGTAGGATATGCAACCATAGAGATTGACATGCTACTACCATTTCCAAAAAAAAAAAAAAAAAAAAAAAAAAGAGTTGGGGGAAGGAATCATAGGAGCTCCTGAGATCGCTTAAAGGTCAATTTCCCCTTCCTTAGGTTATAATCGGGAATTTCAATGACCATGCTCTTCAAGCATAAAAGAGAAGACTGCATGCGCACCTTGTGGGGTTGCTGCAAGGCTTCTTAGAGACAGTCGATAGTTTTGGTCTATTACACTTGCCAACGGTGGGTTACCCTTTTACGTTGGAAAGAGGGAGGGGTACAAACAACTAGTAGAAGAGAGACTTGATAGGGTTTTGGAAAATGATGAGTGGTGTGTGTTGCATGTGGTGACAAGGATTGCCAACTTAAAAATTGGTACTTAAGATCATTCATCTTTGTTCCTATACATCTATGAGCATGTGGTTCATAGGGGAAAACATAGTTTTAAGTTCGAAAACGCTTGGCTGCTTGACGATAGTTGTTGCATGCGTGGCAGGGTGATATGTGGAATGTCACAAAGGGTCTGGGACTACAGGCGAGGTTACAAGAGTGTGGTACAACACTGAGTCGTTGGGGAGGTGATAAGTTCTATAATTTTTCTAATTGTATGAGTGCCATGTGGAAAGAGATAGAACCCTTGAGGGTAACATGAGTGTTGATGTGCAATCAAAATTCAATTTGTTAGATAGGGAATTGCATATTCTACTGGGGCAAGAAGTTGCGTATTGGAAATATAGGGTCAATTAACATTGGCCCAGGGAAGAGATGCAAATGCAAAATTCTTAAACCGCGTCGCTTCTCATAAGAAGAAGAAAAATCACATTGCCAGGTTGAAGGATAATTTGGGAAGGTGGGCAGTAGGGGAGTTTATGCGGTCGGTTGTGTTGGGATTTCATGAGGAAATCTTCCAATCAAAAGGATGTAATAGGGAAGAGTTCTTTAGCTCTCTATAGCCATAGGTTTCTAAAAGTATGAACAATGAACTCCTTAGACCTTTCACTAGAGAGAAAGTTAGGGAAGCATGGTTTGCCATGAGCCTAGATAAAGCTCCAAGTTTAGATGGTATGAACCATGGTTTCTTTCAACACTTTTAGGGAGTAGTGGGGGTGGATGTGATTGAGTTTTTGCTGGGGTGTCTAAATGAGGGTCGTTTCCCTCCCAAGTTGAATGATGCGAATGTTATTTTTATTCCAAAAAAAGAAGACCCATGAAACTATTTTAGATCTCATTTCCATTGCCCTATGTAATGTGGCCTATAATTATGTCCAAAATGATTGTGAACCACATGAAAATCAACTAAAGTAAATTATCTCAAATGCTTTTATCCCTGACAAGTTAATCTCGGATAACATTATGGTAGTAGCAAAGGTAGGTCATTTCCTAAGGCGGAAACAGTTAAGCAAGACGGGTTGGGCAACTCTCAAGCTAGACATGGCTAAAACTTATAACAAAATGGAGGGGAGTTCTTGAAGCGTATGTTGCTAGGTTTTGGTTTTGAGGCTAGGTGGGTAGAGTTGATTATTGTTCGCGTGTCAACGGTGAGATACAATATTTTGGTTAACGGGAAGGTGGCATGTACTATTTTTCCTACTCGGTGGTTGAGGCAAGGGGATATCTTTTCCCCTACCTATTCATCATTTGTGCCGAAGAGTTATCCCTATTACTGTAGTAGGCCAAAAAGAAGGGTCTTATACATGGTTACAAAGTAGCACGAGGTGAACCTTCAGTTTCCCATATCTTTTTTTTTTTTTTTTTGCGGATGGCAGTTTGTTATTTTTTTTTTAAAAGCTAACTCCTAAGCAGATTCAAAATAATAAATTCCCGAGTACATATGAGAATTTATCTATTCAACAAGTTAACTTTAATAAATCTTACATCTCATTTAGCAAGAAGATTTGTGCTGAGGAAAGAAATGAGGTGGCTAGAATTTTAGATGTCACGCAGGGAGAATGATTCAAAAAATATTTGGGGTTTCAATCATTTATAGGTCACAACATGAAAGCCATATTTACATATATTGAGGAGAAATTGATTGACCGAATAGGTGCCTAGAATAAGAAATTGCTCTCTCGGACAAGGAAAGAAATTATGCTCAAAGGTGTGGCTCAAGCAATGCCTATGTATGCAATGAGTATTTTTTTACTCCCAAAAATTTTTGTGAGTTTCTAGAGTGGAGAATGAATAAATTTTAGTGAAATAACAACAGTGTTAGGTAGGGCTGTTAACGAACCGAACATAAACGAACGGAGCTTGTTCGTGTTTGTTTGTTAAGGAATTTGGAGTGTTCGTGTTCGTGTTCGTTTGTTAAGGTTTTTGAAAATCCTGTTCGTGTTCGTTTGTTAAGAGTTCGTTAGTGTTCGTTAACGTTCGCGAACACGTTCATGAACGTGTTCATTAACGTTAACGAACATGTTCGCGAACGTGTTTGTTAACGTTCGTGAACACGTTCGCGAACATGTTCATTAACGTTAACAAACACGTTCGCGAACATGTTCATTAACAAGCACGTTCACGAACATATTCACTTACGTTCATTAACATGTTCGCGAACACTTAATAAACAAACACATGCACATGTTCATGAACACAATTCGTTCGTGAACAATAAATAATCTATGTTCATGAATAGTAATCAAACAAACAACAAAACTAATACAAATAACTTAATAAGTCCATCCGTACGTAGCATCTAATATCAAAATAAAAATCCAAGTCCACATAATTTGTCTGCTCACATTACAAGCCAAAACAGGGCCAAAACATAAAAACATAAAGCATGATATATTTATATTCTGCATCCATCATCCCAAAAGCTTAATACCTTAACTCCAAGTTCATTCCAGTGATATAGTCTTCACATCTTCAGTAAACTACATTAAATGATATATAATATATTGTTATATGACATAAAAAGTATTGAAAATAAATGATATAATAAAAGAATTGACAGTACTTACTTTTGGTTTTCTTTTCATATCATATAAGTTACGCAACCAGTCACTTCCACAAAGTAGCATTTGGACAGTATCGGTCCCCAAAGATGCCCGATATGTATCAATAACCCTACCACCAGCACTAAATGTTGACTCTGAAGCAACCGTTGTGATTGGAATTGATAAGATTTCACATGCCATTTTGGATAATACTCTAAACTTCAAGTTCATTGACTTCCACCAATCCAATGCATTAAATTCAACCGAATCCCCTTCACAAATATATACACCCTCCTGTAAATAAGTATCCAATTCAGACTTCACATGTTGGACAGTATCAACATTTCTCACAAATTTCTCAAATTTTGATCTCCCAGTTTCAACAGCCGGTCCCTTCCCTTTCCAAACAGTAGTAACACCTTGCACAGAAGTATTCCTTGCTTGAGAATCATTTTCCATTAATTGGTTTGAAGCTGTTGTATGTTTATCCAAATAGATCCTGTATAACTCATACAAAGCATCACGAACAATACCAATTTGTGTAGTAGCTTCCTTTTCAGAATAAATGACTGGAAAAGCAAATTGGATAAATGTCATCTTATTTCTAGGATCTAAAACGGCAGCAATAGAAAGTAATAGATTGCTACTACCCCAATATTTGTCAAACTTATGCTGCATCCTTTGGGCCATGTTTTTCATCCAAGGTTCTACACTTTCAGACTTTTGACCGAGAATTTCTTTGATGTTATATAGTTCAGGAAGAAACAAATTTGCTGTTGGATATTCAGAACCTATATTCAAAAAACAAATACTATAATTATATAACAATCATATATATTGAAATGTATAAAGTTTAGAACTGTATAATAAATTACTTGAGATAATTTTAGTAACTTCATTGAAATGCACCAGTAAAGAGCAAATCTCTTCAACCCTTTGCCAATCATCCTCAGAAGGCAAGCATTTGTAATTTGGATCTCGAAGTTGATACCGAGGAAATACTTGCTTGAAATCCAAAGCACAAGATAACATAGCAAATGTTGCATTCCACCTAGTGCAACAATCTAAAATCAACTTCTTGTTAGGCACTTGGAGCTGTTTGCAAATCTCATTAAAACTATGCAACCGTTGAGGTGAAGCACTAATATACTTGACACTATCTCTGACATTTTCAATGATAGACTTAATCTCAGAAAGGCCATCTTGCACAAGAATGTTCAATATGTGTGCACAACAACGAACATGAAACAACTTACCTTCTAGTGGCAAAGTTGTATGAAAAGAAAGAGAGTCATGCAACAACCTCACAGCTGAATCATTATAAGAAGCATTATCCACTGTGATTGTCCACACTTTCTCTTCAATACCCCATCCTTGCAAACATTTGTATATTGCATCACAAACACATGTACCGGTATGCGGGGGAAGCACTTCAACAAAGTTTAGAACTCTTTTCTGCAACTTACTGTCCATGTCCACAAAATGAGAAGTTATCACCATGTATTGAATGTTCTGATTTGATGTCCATATGTCAGTTGTGATACTAATTTTGTCAACTGAATTCAACAATCCTTGTACTCGTTTCTTTTCTAGCTCATAAGTTGACCAACAATCTTTTGTGGTTGCTGTTCGACCAATCCGCTCATAATATGGACTTGCAGATTGCATGACTATGTTGAAGAGTTCATACTCAACAAACGAAAATGGCAATTCATGAACCATAATCATGTGAGATATAACCTCCCTCATCCTTGCTTGATCATACTTCCAACTCTGAACACCACTGACACTCTCCGATTTTTGTGTCGATGGAACCACACAAATGTTCCTTTGCCCTGAAAGATTGATTCTGCGTTTTATGCAACTGTCTAAATGTCTTTTATATTGTGTGGTCGTGCCATCCTTTTGCTTTTTCAATTTAAAGTTGCAATGATTGCATTGCACTTTTTCTTCCCCATTCTCAAGTTTCACCACTGTCATTTCTTGCCAAATAACTGATGATTTTTTCCTTTGCTTCTTCTTATAAGGTTCGCTTTCTCCTTCCACTTCTTCAACTTCTCGGCCAATGTCCTTCTCAACATCACCTTCAAATCCAATGATTTCCACATTTGGATGATTTGGTGTTGGGTTTAGTTCTTCCATTTCAATAGGTATTGTTGAAGAACCAACACTTGGAATTGAAGGTTCATCAATTGTGTTGTAATCTTCGTAAGACATAGCTATTATACAAACAAGTAATTAAAAAAAATGTATACAATATGTTATATTCTTTCTATAATAATGCAAACAAAAAAAAAAAAAAAGTAGAGAATAAAGAATACTACCACATTGACATAGTACAATATGTTATATTGTTCTTCTTCATCTTGTCCAGTTATCCAACCAGCTAAACAAGAAAATTCAAAGAACAAATAAACACACAAATACAATGTCAAAGTGGCATACTAGCTCTAAAGTGAATATAAACTCAATAATATTAATCTATAAAAAAAAACAAAAATTAAAAATACCGTATGTATTTTTAAAGCTTCGAGGACGATTGAAACAACAGTCAGCAGGCAAGCAAGGAGATCTGAGGATTAAACAGTAGGATTAAACAATAGAGTAGCAGACCGTATGTTTTCAATGATTAAAAGAAACAAGAAATTTCTCTTAGGCAAACAAGAAAAGAAACAGTATGATTAAAACAATAAACACTAATCAAGAAATGAAAAAAAAAATTCTCTATGTTTTCAATGAATTTCTCTCTGCTTTCAATTAAACAATAAACAGTAATCAAGTATACTATTTCTGCCATTTGCTCATAGGGAGGGTGAGTACTGAGTATACAAGCCGATAATTACAGAATGAAGTTAAACAATAAACAATAAACACTAATGAAGCTAAACAATAAACAATAAACACTAATGAAGTTAAACAATAACCACTAATGAAGTATATGTTTACAGAGGTACGGTATTTACCGTCAATAGAGGCCGGAGGTGTTGGGCTGGGAAGTGGTGGCTACGGTGGTCAGCGTTGGCTAGGGTGGTAGCTACGGCAGTCGGTGTTGGCTGGGGTGGTGGTTACGGCTGACGGCGATGGCTGGGCAGCAGGGCAGGTGGCTACGAGAGACAGCGTTGGTGGAGTTGCGATGGAGTTGCGGTGGACGTGTGAGCGATGAAGGCAGAGTCACGGACTCACGGTGGAGGTGTGACTGTGTGAGCGGTGAAGGTGGAGTCGCGGTGGAGGTGTGAACGATGATGGCGGAGAAGAACGATTGAGCGGTGAAGTGTGAAGACTGAAAGTGCGAAGGATGATCTGAAGTTTGAAACGTGGAAAACCCTAGTCCCTAAATGGCTAAATAAAAGTGACTTATTTATTGTTTATTAAACAATGTTTAAGTTACCTAGCTAATTAAGTAATTAGTAATTACCCATGTCTATGTATTTGTACGTATTAAATTAATACTATTATGTGTTTGTATTAAATTAATACTACTAATATATATATATATATATATATATATATATATATATATATATATATATATATATATATATATATATACTTACTTATATGTTTGTGAACATGTTCGCGAACATTATTAACGAACACAAACGAGCTTGTTCACGAACATTATTAAACGAACATAAACGAGCTTGTTCACGAACATTATTAAATGAACACAAACGAGCTTGTTCACGATCTTTTAGCAAACGAGCTTACAACTGTTCAAACTCTGTTCGTTTATTAACCGAGCTCTAAATTTTGTTTGTTAATGTTCGTTTACCTTAACAAACGAACATAAACGAACGCTTACCGAACACGAACACGAGTAGTTTGCCGAAAGCTCTGTTCGCTAACACCCCTAGTGTTAGGGGCATTCACTAGCTAGCTAGCTTGGAATAAACTAAGTGTCCCTAAGAAATTTGGAGGTCTAGGTTTCAAGCAACTTCATGCATTCAATCTTGTGTTGCTTGGAAGCCAGGGATGGCGCTTTCTGACCAACCCTACATCCCTTGTCTCTCGTATTTTTTGGGCTCACTACTTCCCAAAAGGTATGCTCCTTGAAGCTTCCTTAGGTCACAACCCGACTTTGTGACACCCCAGAAAATTACCCTTAAACGAAATTAATTATTTAATTAATTCTAAACTTGCCTTATAAATTCTTTCCTAAATTTCCTTATTAAAATAGTTGAAGGACCTAAATTGACAAAATTTCTTAGTCAATTAAATTAGTCAATGGAAAAGACACTATGCTTTATGCCTTGTACCTAGCCTTTGATTTCTTTCTAACCTTTTTGTGGACAAGGAAGGCTATTTTAGTCCTTTCCTAACTTTTACTTGTTATCCAAGATATTTCCATATTGCTGCTACCTTTGTCTTCCTCACATTAGGCAAGAAACCATCCTCACTCTACCATCTCTCTAAACTTTAGCTTCTTCTCCAAGCTAAATTAGAATCCCCCTCCAATCTTGCAAGGAATCCATCAAGATCCTAACTTTCATCCACCAAAACCTTAGGAAGGGGAAGTCCTAAGCTTGGCTAGTGTTTTTACTTAGTCTTTCCTTATCATTTTTCTAAGTTTTGTTGTCTTGTTTGGGTTTTTGGTTGTGTTTGGGAAGATCTTGAAGAAGAAGACCTCCGGAGGAATAATAGGAGTTGGAGAAAGTGTTCTTAGGCTTAAGAGGTAACTCATGTTCTACAAAACCTATTTTATACTTGTTATTAATGATTTCTTGATTATCTATTGATGTTCTTGAGAGAATTATTTATGCATATTCTTGTGTTTATGCATGTTTAGAGCTTGTTTTTACGGTTCACAAATGCTATTCTTTGAGCTATTTCATGTGCTCAAGTTCCCTTGTAGTTGTATGTGAGATTTTGGGTGTTTTGGACTTAACTTGGACTTCATTGCATTTTCCCCCGAAGGGGAGTTGTTTTTGGCTCGGGTGTACCATCGGGTACACGGGCAGGTGGTGTGCCACCCGCCAGTCTACCCGCTGGTACCGGTGTGGTGTGGCAGCGGGGAGGGCCACGGGTGGTTGGCCACCGCGGTTCCTCCCGCTGGTACACAGTGGGGGGCGTGGCGAGTGGTTGACCCCCCACCGTTCTGCCCACTGGTGTGATGTCTTGACCTTCATTTTGTTGAACCGTTGTGCAATTGTGTGTTTGCTTTGATATTTCGTACGTTTAGAACGATGTCCTAAGTAACCATGATAGGATTTATGAGTCTTGAATCATGTTTAAAGGTCCAACTTTGTGATTCGTTGGATTAATGTGAAGTCATTGATGTTCGTTTGAACCGTTATGTTTATCCTATTGATTTGCATGCTAGTTACGTTGTTGGTACTAGTATGTGCTTGTTCATTCGTTCTCAATGAAGATTGGTAACTTGTATTCACCAATCATTGTAATTTTTGGATTGAAGTCTATCGTTATTGTGTCATTGTATTGAATGTTCCTTTTATGTCTCTCCTTTAAGTCTTTGGATTGATCTCTTGTTGAAGCTTGTACAAATGTTGTACTCTTGTGATTGTTCTTGATTGGGCTATTGTTGAGCCTCAATTATCTATGTCGATGACTATGTGATTGTTATGAGATTGGTGGTAATGAGCTTTGCTCAATTGATTGGCGGTATACTATCACGTGATATGTATTATTATATTATTTATGACATTGCGTATGTCTATGAGATCGGCGGCAAGCTGGCGGAAGCAGGTGAGGAGCAATGGCTCCGGAGGAATACTTATAGCACTTTGTGTCACACCCATAATTCAAAAAATAATAGGGAAAATAGCACTTTTTTCCCCTGGATTATATACTTATAGCACTTTTTCCCCCTAAATTATTCAAGTGCCTATTCCTCCCCCCCCCCCCCCCCCCCCCCCGAAATGTTAAATTGACATATTTACCCTTAAAATAAATATTTAATTTATTTTTCTGCTCCAACAAATTATGACCACAATTTGGTTCAAACGAAACAGACACTATAGCAACCAAACCGAAATATTCCAATTACAATTTATAATCAAAACCCGATATTTAGAGTTTATTAAAATCGCGAACCGGAATGGCCAGTTCATGTTTCAAACTGAAAAATAAAATACATTTATTGTTGAACTTAGACTATTTTAAAATAAAGACGGTTCAAAATCGTGAACCAGATTTGGAACCGCCGGTTCACGGTTCAGGATCCAATTTTTTTTATTCATAATTTTAATAAACTGAAATGCAAATAGTGGGTTCTGGATCCCTGAATCATAACCGGAAACTTTTAATTCGATTGGTATAGTGTCCGGTTAAGTTCGAGTCGAACCGTGGTCATCCCTACGTATACGCAATAATTTGTTGGAGAAGAAATATAAATAAAATGTTTACTTTAAAGGTAGAAATGTCAATTTAATATATCGGTGAGGGGGGGGGGGGGGGGGGGGGACTGTCACTTTTAGAATAATTGAGGGGGCTAATATGCTTACTTGAATAATTCAAGAGAAAAAAGTTCTATATGCATATAACTCAGGGGGAAAAAGTGTCATTTTCTCAAAAATAATAATTAATATTAAAGAATTGATTTGCAATTTTGAGACAATTAAAAAGGATCTAGCAGGAAGGAGGCATAGTCAAATTATAAAAGATATAGAGTATCCCCATTGAAAATGATGAAATAATATCCATTTGTCTTCTAGCTTGCTACATCTTAAATTAAAATTTTCAAACTTCTACAGCATTTTACTTGCACTAATAACTAAGCCTATATAGGTCCACAAATTTATAATGTCCTCAAAGAATTATGGTACTACATACGAACAAAGCTGTTTGAAACTCGAGTAAAAAAATAATGCCTTTAGACCATTTTTGCATATAATAATGTAACAGAATAATGCATTTTAGCATTTAGACCATTTTTGCATATAATAATGTGATGCAAATGTTTTGTTCGCAGTTAGGTAAATCCAGCTTAATTAAAACGAATTGCTTTTGTATCTTCACCAACGACTTTGTAGCTTGTAATCCTTTATTGCATTTCGTTCAATAAATTTACCAACCAGCTTTGAGGTGACGTGTGTGTGTGTGAGAGATTCACGTGCGAAGAGTATCCTAGGCTAAAGATGCAGTGATATTTGAGTCGTTGGTCTAATCTAGATCAACGACTCAAATCAAGAAAAAAAATGCGGGAACTGGATCACTTTAAGTGTTGAATTGGTGCAGCTTAAGTGTTGAATTGGCGTACCTTAAGTGTTAAAATGACGCATCTTAAGTGTTAAAACAACACACCTTTAGTGATAAAATGACGCACTTCAAGTGTCAAAATGATGCACCATAAGTGTTAAAATGACGCACCTTAAGTGTTAAAATGACGCACCTTAACTGTAAAACTTATGCACCTTAAGTGTAGAACTGACGCACCTTAAGTGTAAAAATGACGCACCTTAAGTGTTAAAATGACGCACCTTAAGTTTTGAAAATACGCACCTTAAACTTTAAAATCATAAAGGTCAGTTCTCGTAACCTTCCGGGTACCTTTCGAAAGGTACCATTCGGAGTTGTTATCTCTCAATCCACCATCCATCTAATCAGAGGCGGATCTAGAGGGGGCAACGGGGCAGTTTCCCCCTCACCCTCCCCACCCAATAGCAAAATCATATATATATATATATATATATATATATATATATATATATATATATATATGTATGTATGTTTATAAGCATTTGTATAGCTTAAAGTGGTTGTACTTCAAGATTTAATTTAATATATATCTAATCTAATGTCTTTGGATCAAACCCCATTGAAAGCATTTTAATATTTTTATTTTTTGTGATGTATAGTGTCTTTTCTATCCCAACTAATATTTTTATTGATTATGTTTTATATATTGCCATAAATATTTTTATAGTATTTCAAAGTGCTTTAAAATTTTGCCTCAAGTATATTAATGTTTTTATTGATAAATTTTGCCTCAAGTATATTAATATTTTTATTGATTATATTCCATATATTGTCATAAATATTTTTAGAACATTTCAAAGTTCTTTAAAATTTTGCCTCAAGTATACTATTTTTTTTATTGATTACGTTTCATATATTGTCATTAATATTTTTATAGTATTTCAAAGTGCTTTAAAATTTTGCATCAAGTATAATTTGCCTCCGTCCCTAACTATTATGTAATTCATTATAACATTGTATTGTAATTTATAATATATTTTATATTTAACTCGGTGTTTGATATTTTGTTATCGACATTTTTGAATTCATTTAAACTTCACCCCCACTCAAAATATTCCTGGATCCACCCCTGCATCTAATATAATCAAAAGTTGAAAATAAAAAAAATGTGGTTACAATTTTATAATTACTATGATTGTAGAAAGGTGTTTGGTAAATTAGCTGTTACTGATAGCTGTTTGGTATAATTATTATTATTTTTAAAAAATTTATTGAAAAAATTGCTTTGAACAGCTTTTTGAATTGTAGCATTTTGTAGTTACAAAAAACTAATTAACCAAACACTTATATTGATATTTTAACCAAGTCAAACAATTAATAGTGGTCAAATAAACAAAAATTGACTGAAAGGTGAACTATTTTATCAAACACGGCCATAATAATGCATTCGTGGATAACCAATATGGCACTCATGGTCTATAATAGTGCTAATGTGTATGCACTATTAATTATCCGCAATTGCCCCTATTAAGCGTTTTCAAATATACCATCATAATTATGAAAATGTCATCGGTGCTTTTTTCTTATTTTTCCTTAATTTTTAACATTTAATCGTCCTTGGTCTTAAATCATATAATGAAGAATTCTTTCAAAAGGTTGAACCCCAACCCTAAGGCAAAACTTTACCTATTTTAAAAAATGTTATCATATATTTATTTAATTAAACATAGATATTGTTCGTTCATTATTTTGAAATAAAATTTCCAAATTTATTCCATTTTTTACAAGATTATATATTTTCACATGATCTTTAATTTTCCTTATCTAAAAACATAATAAGTGTGAATGAAAGTTATACCCCTGATTTATGTCCGGTTTTTCCGTTAAGTTTTTTTGTACATTATGTTATAAAGGTTGTACATTAAAATATTTTGGACAAACATACCCCTATCGTTATAACTTCCGTTATCTTTTCCACTATTGTTACCATGCACATGCATCCACAATATATTTTCTTATCTTCTTTATTAATAATAATACATACACATTAAATATTTGAGTTATATATTAATTATTAAATAAATATAAATATCAAATTTATAAAAATGATTTACATTATTATTATTATTATTTAGAATAATTTAAATATCAAAAATCTAAATAAATTTAAAATTTTAATATAATATATTAATATTGAACACCTATTTTCTTTTGCACATCGCGCACAAAAAATACTAGTATATATAATAAAACTGGACCATGAAAGAAATAGAAATGATGAGTGAGTAGTAATTTTCAAGCATATTTAATTGTCCTCTTCAGGGGTCCCAAAAACCCTTACTTTATTCATGCAAAAAAAAGAAAGAAAGAAAAAAAGTCTCTCGAGCTAATCAATTTTCCGCTGCAAAAATTTATGAAGAACGGAAGAAAGGGAAAATTGGGAGAGAGAGAGAGAGAGAGTAACATTTCTTTAAAAAACATGAAATCCTTAAAAAAGCCTTTCACACAGTCACAGACGATACTCAGAAGTCACTGTCCCCATTTCCCAAACCAAGCAACATTTCTTTACTGTGAGCTCCAGAGATCTGACGGCCAAACCAAGCAACATTTGACCACGAGATCTCGACACCTGTCCGGCTTATACTCCGAGATTCTGAAATTGAATGATAGCATAATGATGTTAAAATTATTTGACATTCTTTAAGTTCTGAACCACCCCACACTTACTGCTCTGCTGTCTCGATCTGCTGCACCACTCACTGTACGGCCTTTCTCTCTTTAATAACTATGCCCACAATCACCGATTAGTAATTACCACATCAATGAATTGTAAAAAAATGTTTAACAAAATTAACTATTTATTATTAGCGATTAACATTGTAAAAATATCTATAAAAATATTTATATTATTTTATTATTATTATTATTATTATTATTATTATTATGCAATAATAAATTAAATTTATATTGATATGTTTTAAAATTTTATAGTTAACCTACAATTATGTTAAGTCACTACTGTAATTACGACTTCATTACTTTATGAACACCTCTGGTAGTTTTTCCCTCCCTCTAGCCTGTGAAAGAATAAGTCCTGTTGTTTTTGGTGTTCTATTTTCTTTATTAATTTTAGGTTGGTTGTAATTATTCCTGTACTCTCTGTTTGTAGCCTATATATAAGAGGTAACATTTGTTTACTTTGGTTATTCAATATACAGCTTCTATATAGTATCAAGAGGCTAATACTGAGTTTTTTTTTTTTTTTTTTTCCCAAGCATGTCTATCACGCAAACCACCTAGAATGTTCATCTCAATGCTCCAACCCATTTTCCCATTAAGTTAACTACAACCAATTTCTCAATATGGAGGAATCAAGTTGAGTCTACTCTCATTGGCCTTGATGTTATTAGCTATGTTGATGCTTCTATCAAAGCTCTAGAACGACTTTCCGATGCAGCTACAAACACCATTAATCCCCTTTACACAATTTGGAAAAGACAAGATCGTATAATACTAAGTGCTCTCTTAGGCACCAAGACTATGTGGTCTAATGGTACCCGGGTTGTGAGTTCGAGCCTCAGTGGAGGCGTTATTGGTTCTTTGTGTTTTAGTAGGTTGAGAAAGTATATGAACAGATATTGAAGGCAAAGCTTGTGAAAAATCCAAGAGGGAGTTGCTCTATTAGTACCTACATGCGCTTGCTGCTGTCCGCGTGCAGACTACACCAATTTCCTTTGGTGAATTAAGTGATGTCCTAACTAATTATGAACATTTGTTAAAAGATAATGAGGGTGCCCACCAGTCTTTAATTGCTACAGCAAGTGCCACTCAACGCCGATTTAATACCTTTTCCACCATCGTCAGGATCAACCTCTCAGAATTATGGACAACAAAATCGTCGTGGTAGAGGTGGTTTTTCTGCTCAATTTGGACGTCCAAATTCTGGACGTGGAAACGCCACTCGTAACAACCGTTACTGCAAATTTTGTGATTATCCAGGTCATGACACTCGTTTTTGTTGCAAACTTGCTAAGTTCCTCCGTGACAACAACATTAGCGTCCATGATCCTCTCAGTCAATCTGCCAAGGTTCTAATGGTCAATACCGCATCTACTACTACGTTAAGGAAACAATAGACGGCTACGTCATTCTTTGTTTATACGTAGATGATATGCTCATCGTTGGTAGTAACGATCGGATGATCAAGTTTACCAAAAACATGTTAAATGTGAGATTTGACATGAAGGATATGGGTTTGGCTGATTTAATCCTTGGGATTAAAATCAATATAAGACCTGATGGTCTTGTGTTGAGCCAATCACATTATATTGACAAAATCCTTGCAAAATTTAACAAGGATGATGATCAATTGGCTAAGACACCGTTTGATACAAACGTTCATCTAACCAAGAACCACAGAGAGTGTAGTTCTCAAGTAGAATATGCTTGGGTTATTGGTAGTTTGATGTATCTTATAAGTTGTACTAGGCTGGATATTGCCTTTGCGGTGAGTAAACTCAGTAGATATACGAGTAACCCCGGTGCTATGCACTGGAAGGCAATAGTAAATGTTATGAGATACTTGAGGTATACTCGTGACTTTGGATAGCACTACGGGAGATATCCCGCTGTACTTGAAGGGTATAGCGACGCTAACTGGATATATGATATTAAGGACTCTAAGTCCACGAGTGGCTACGTGTTTACACTAGCTGGTGCAGCCGTTGCATGGAAATCCTCTAAGCAACCCGTGATAGCTAGATCCACGATGGAATCTTAGTTGATAGCCTTGGACAAAGGCTGTGAAGAGGTTGAATGGCTACGCCATTTTCTAGAGGATATTCCTAATCGGGAAAGACATGTACCTCCAATATCTGTGCATTGGGATAGTTAAGCCACAATTGGGAAAATACAGAGTCATATGTTTAATGGTAAGTCTAGACATATGCGTTATACACATAATACCATTAGACAACTTCTCACAACTGGTGTTGTCTCAATTGACTACGTAAAGGCAAAAGACAATATAGCGGATCCGCTAACCAAAGGGTTAGGCAAAGAAGTTGTAGAGAAGCTGACACGAGGAATAGGTCTAAAGCCTTTGGACTAAAAAGTGTTGGTCCCGGTAGGGTTGAAAGAGAGTCTAGAGGGGGGGGGGGTGAATAGACTCTAATCGATTTTTCAAAAGTAACTCCTTTCGGAGCGATGCACAGCGAAAATGGTGTTTTGTTTTAGATATTCTTTGCACACTTTCGTTAAAGTGAAAACTTAGCATTTCGTCAATATGATATGTAATGCATGAAAGTAATAGCTGAAAGTAAAGAGATATGGAGAGAGAGATTTTTATAGTGGTTCAGCTGTTAACGAAGCATACTCCACTCTTCTTTCACAACACGTGAAAGGGTTTGCACTATCACTCCTAGTACAAACTATTTCAAGCTGGCTTCCTTGATCACTAAGCCGGACAGCCACTTAGATGGTTTTTCAACTCCTCGAGTTTACTCCGCCTCTATCAACATCTTCCTAAGTTGAGTTGTTGGAAAGATAGTCTCATGTTTCTCCAACAAGTTGAAGCTTTGTCTTAACGTCTGGATTGATCTTCACTTGAGAAATTTCAAGACTGCTTCGAGTTGTGAAGTATGGAGATGGATATGTCTTTGAAAAACTTCACAAAATCACTGGTTATGAAAAGCTTTGGTAGATAAGACTGCTTGAAGAGCTTTTCTTTGGATTGCAAGAGTGAATTAACCAGCACCTTCTTCAATGGCGAAGAGAGGTATTTATAGGTGGAAAAATCCATCCGTTGGAGGGAGATGGAAATTTCAAACCTAATAACCAGTGAGTATTACCCAGTAGGCATTGGGCATTTAATGCATTTGTACTGTATAGCCGTTAGAGCCAAAAGCATTATGGCTTTTGTCCTTGATCTCTGACAAGATGGTACAAGACTTTTAATGCTCCTTGTCTTTTGTGATGATCATTCCTAGAACACTTTTTGTCCGAATGATTTGTCCATCTGAGTCATAGACAACATTCTCATTGCTTCACTTAATGAGTGTTGTCTTTTACAAGTCTGTCTTTGACTTGTTTACTCGAGAGAGAGGAACACAAGATTGTCCTCATCTTTCGTCATTTCTTCTTAGACGAAGGTTCCTTTTGTAAAGGCAATCTATCCGAGACTTGCTCAATCCTTCTTTCGTCTGGAAGCATTTCTCGATCATCTTGTTATCTTCAAGTCTTCATGTAGATCTATTATACTAGTCTCGTGCATGATTTATACACCTCATGGCTTTGTTATACGAGACTTATTTAACAAATGAAAAATAGGGGTCTACAATCTAAGACAGTTTGGTATCATCAAAATCTAAATACACTTGTTCCATTCTGAGGTTCCACAATTCGTTGTACAGCCTTTCCTTTCGGTTGGCTTGTTGATTGTGGTTGATCACGATTGTTAATCTTTATCATTGGCTCAGACATTTGGGTAGGGCCTTGAAAAAACGCAGACTTGAAACTTTCGTGTGAGTAAATGTCTGTAGGTTTGTGCAATAAGATATGTGAAGGGGAGCTGAGGTCATAACCAATCCGATTCTTTTCCCTGGCGGTTTTGATCCATTCACCAATCGATCCATCAAATTGGATGAGTTGTTGAACGAATCAAGAACCTCACGCAAATTTTGCTCCCGCAACTCTCTTTCTGTACACTGCTCTTTAAGAAGATGAACTTGCTTTTCGAGCTGTTCTTTTGCGATGGCTAGCTTAATGTTATCAATTCTAACTCTCCTTAGCTCATCGTAGCTGATCAATAATCGAGAGTTCTCTTCTTTTAATTTAGAGTATGTGTTTTTGATTACTTTGAAATCCATCATCATCTCAAAGATAGTTTCATTTGGATTTCCTTCACTACCCGAACTAGGTTCTATTTGATTTGACGAGGAGGTCTGAGAGTTTACCTCATCATCACCAGCCATTAAGCATAGATCATTTGTTCCTTCTTTTTGACTGAATAGACACAGAAGACCTTTCTCATCTCCCGAACTTTCGCTCTCTGAATTTGAGCTTGAGGAGCTTGTTTCGGGTTGAGCTTCTTCAGCTGGTTCATTTACCATCATTGCCTTTCTTCTTCTCTAGTGTTGTGAGCTTGTTGATTCTTGTTTTCCGCTTCTCTTGCTAAATTCAACAGCTTCTTTTGGTGTGCTTGTGCTTGTGCCCTGGTCCTGATATTTGCGGACTATGGGGTGAGGGCAATTTGCTTTGAAATTCCCCAGTTTTCGACAGTTGTAGCAAAGCACTTGTGAGTCCATCGTTTCTTGTTTTGACGGTTGAGGAGATCTTTCGTATTGCCTTCGATTTGACGTTCTTTGTTGATCTTGGAAGTTGTTCTTCCTCATGAACCTTTTCATCTTTCGCACAAACAACGCATATTGTTCATCAGATGAAAATTCACTAGGGTTAGAATTCGACCTGTTTGATGTTGACGTTTGTTGACTAGCAACCAAGGCTATATTTCTCGTTTCGGATTCCTCAAACTCTTTCAGCTCATGCTCAAACTCGTACGCTTTGAGATCACTAAAGATCTTGCTCGTACTGGTTGTCTTCATGTCTCTGTGGTCTCTCATGTCTGTTACTTTCATCTACCATGATTTTGGAAGCCCTCGAAGTATCTTTAGATTTTTTTCCTTTTCAGTCGGCTCCTTTCCGAGATCCGAAAGATCACCCATGAGTTTTGTGAATCTGAGCTCCATGTCGGTGATGGCTTCATTTGACATCATTTTGAAATCTTCAAACTTCTTCATGGCTACGGTGAGCTTGTTGTCCTTCTCTTGTTCACCCCCTTCACCTAGACTCATGAGAGTATCCCAGATTTGTTTTGCTGTAGTGCATTTCCGTACTCTCGGGAACAGCGAATCATCTAGAGACTTATAGAGAATATCTCTTGCAACATTGTCGAGATTTGCTCTTGTTTTCTCATATGAAGTAAGTTGTGATTTTGGCTTAGGTATCATGGTTTCTGGATCTGCTCCTTGAGCAACTGCCTGCGTGTTTACCATCATTACGACAATAGGACCTTCACTTATCACGTCCCACATTTCATCATGAATGGCCGAGAGATGTGCCTGCATTCTCACTTTCCAATCATCAAACTTTGAGAAATTAAAGGCAAGAGGCCTAGAACGGTTAGAATGATCTCTTTCCATTTTTCTTTTAGAAAATACGTGCAAAGACGAAAAATAGCTTAAATTATATGAGATTTTGCAAAAGGGATCTACTAGGCAGTAAAGCAAAACGTTTACCGTACAAGGTAACCTCTCTGATACCACTTGTTGGTCCCGGTAGGGTCGATAGAGAGTCTAGAGGGGGGGGGGGTGAATAGACTCTAATCGATTTTTCAAAAGTAACTCCTTTCGGAGCGATGCACAACGGATATGGTGTTTTGTTTTGGATATTCTTTGCACACTTTCGTTAAAGTTAAAACTTAGCGTTTGGTCAATATGATATGTAATGCACGAAAGTAATAGCTGAAAGTAAAGAGATATGGAGAGAGAGATTTTTATAGTGGTTCAGCTGTTAACGAAGCCTACTCCACTCTTCTTTCACAACACGTGAAAGGGATTGCACTATCGCTCCTAGTACAAACTATTTCAAGCTCGCTTCCTTAATCACTAAGCCGAACAACCACTTTGAAGGTTTTTCAACTCCACGAGTTTACTCCTCCTCTATCAACTTCTTCCAAAGTTGAGTAGTTGGAAAGATAGTCTAATGTTTCTCCAACAGGTTGAAGCTTTGACTTGACGTCTGGATTGATCTTCACTTGAGAAATTTCAAGACTACTTCGAGTTGTGAAGTATGGAGATGGATATGTCTTTGAAAAAATCACAAAATCACTGGTTATGAAAAGCTTTGGTAGATGAGACTGCTTGAAGAGCTTTTCTTTGGATTGCAAGAGTGAATTAACCAGCACCTTCTTCAATGGCGAAGAGAGGTATTTATAGGTGGAAAAATTCATCCGTTGGAGGGAGATGAAAATTTCAAACCTAATAACCAGTGAGTATTACCCAGTGGGCATTGGGCATTTAATGTATTTGTACTGTATAGCCGTTGGAGCCATAAGCATTATGGCTTTTGTCCTTGATCTCTGATAAGATGGTACAAGACTTTTAATGCTCCTTGTCTTTTGTGAAGATCATTCCTAGGACACTTTTTGTCCGAATGATTTGCCCATCTGAGTCATAGACAACATTCTCATTGCTTCACATAATGAGTGTTGTCTTTTACAAGTCTGTCTTTGACTTGTTTACTTGAGAGAGAGGAACGCAAGATTGTCATCATCTTTCGTCCTTTCTTCTTAGACGATGGTTCCTTTTGTAAAAGCAATCTATCCGAGACTTGCTCAATCCTTCTTTCGTCTGGAAGCATCTCTCGATCATCTTGTTATCTTCAAGTCTTCATGTAGATCTATTATACTATTCTCGTGCATGATTTATACACCTCATGGCTTTGTTATACGAGACTTATTTAATAAATGAAAAATATGGGTCTACAATCTAAGACAGTTTGATATCATCAAAATCTAAATACACTTGTTCCTAACAAAAAGTTCTATTGTGGATACCCAACCTAGTTGGCACCTAGGTTTAATGGGACAACTAAGTTATGGAACGGAGTTAGTTACTGTGGGGGTCTCGGACTCCCTACCTCTCCTCATTAGAATAGTGATTCCCGTACGAGGATAGCACATTGATGCTTTAATGATTCGAATGTCCGTTGACATGTCTGAGTATGCGAGATACTTGGTAAAGAATCACCTATGTGAGAGAGAAGTGAGGGCCGCTTCAAAGGAGAATTGAATAGGGCTCAATTCTTCACAAACTCTTGCAGAACCAGGAACGGTGACCCACGATCAAAATGGGCACAGTCATGAGAACAGAGCATGGTTGGGAGGTTCCTGTGTGAGATATGTCATCATCTACACAAACGGCAGTCGGTTCAAAGACATCGCGTTCTACCGTACAGCCAGTAGAGTAAATATATCTTCACAAGGGAAGGTTCAAAGGGTGCAGTAACCCCTACCCATCCTATGTAGGGATCGACCGGTGAACACAATTGTTTCCAATTTCAAAATACCCTGAAAATCAATTGCTTAAAATGATATGTTAAGTGGCTATTTTGTGGTACAATTATTAGTGGGTTCTACTTCTGATTTGGGTCGGGTCAAAGTGGATTCGGGTTCTTTGTAGTGAGACGAAGAGATTGATATATTGTATGCTCAAAACGGATAATGGGTGAATGAGAAATTGATTCTCAAAGTAGACCCATTTGAGTTGGATAATGAAGGGAAAAGGTGAATCTTTTGTCCCACATTGGTTTGAGAAGTGAGTTTGCACCACTATTTATACAAGAGCTCTTTTAAAGCTTATTGAAATGTATAGAATAGAGGCTTGGACAAATTTTGGTATAACACCTCATCCGTTACGGAATTAACTCCGCATTGATTCCAATTTTTAAATTCTGATTTTAATCTCACTTAGTGGCATGTTGTTTCAGGTGTTATAAGCTGATTTTGAATCAGTTTGAATGCCAAAAGAAATGCTATTTAATCCCAACAGCCCTATATAAGAGAGGGTAGAGCAGCGGATTTTCAACACAACAAGAGAGAATAATTTCTCTATGTATTCAGCTCCAAAATACTATGCTTCTACTCCTTTCTTTAGCCTATTGTGTTCAAAACCTTGCTCTTGTTCGCCGGGTTCATTGTTTGGGTGCTCAAACAATTGAATTGTAGCACGTTTTGTTCTGGAAAACCTAGGCTACAATGCTCTTCACCCTTTCCTTCCCAATTTTTTCCATAAAATAATAATCTTTTCGTAGGATTATTATTTGGGTTTTACCAATGAAATATATAAATAAATAAATAAATAAATAAATAAATAAATAAATATATATATATATATATATATATATATATATATATATATATATATATATATATGTGTGTGTGTGTGTGTGTGTGTGTGTGTGTGTGTGTGTGTGTGTGTGTGTGTGTGTGTGTGTGTATTCAAATGAGGACAAGTATATTATAGAGGACTGTGAGGACAGATGTAGTGTGTGACATTAGCCGGTATGTCGTGTGCATGGCCGAATGAAGTCGTGTGTCACAGTTTGTATGTCGCGTGCTAGATTTGTTAATTTTCAGAGCCTGGGTTCGAAACCTGATGTTTACATTTATTCTTGTGTGCCATTATGTATTAATTTGTGTGCCTGGTATTAATTTGTTGTGTGCTCATTATTTGTCCTCACAGTCCTCTATATATTGTTGTCCTCATTTGAACTCAACCCTATATATATATATATATATATATATATATATATATATATATATATATATATATATATATATATATATATATAACATTTAAATTAAAACTGATAGGTACCCTGAAACGGATACCCGGTCGAGAAGATGAGGCCAGGCGGTTAGCTGTGAACGCAATACGACACTTAATAAAGGGCCAACACCCGCGATAGCAGGAAGGGTTCCGGGAGATCGTAGCTGGCCGGCCCCTGACGACTGACCACCAGGAAGAACGACTGCCAGTCCAAGTGAAGGTCAGTCGGCTTGAGCAAAGCGGGCAGATGCGACAGCCAGTGTGTCCCCGACCGAACGCCCTACAGAATGTGGGCGGGCGACCAGGCTCCGCAGGCAGCGCATCCCAGGTCGGTAACCATTCAGGAGGACAGTCAGGCGACTAGGCTACGCGGTCGGGACATCTTCGCCCGAGCACCGCAGCCCCCCGAGGCATCTCCTCAGCAACCAGGATACTCCCCGACCGAGTACTTCCCAGAGGCGGTTATAAACATGTCCCACGAAGATTTACTTTCCGCATTTAATGCAAGTAGCTTCCTTTATTAATTTAGGCAATTAGGGCGCAATAGCGGCCAGTTTCCATAGCTGATTCGCCCCTATGTGTCAACCCTACTTTGCTTATAGATCTTGGCTCTACGCCAACCCTACTTTCCTTGTACAAATTTTGTTTTATTGTATAAGTATCCCCTTGGGATCACCATGTAAGAGTCTGGAAAAATTGATCATTTTTGACTTCTCTTGGCACTTAAGCGGCCGAAATCCTAGAGAAATAATATCGCATTATTATCCCCATTGCCCTACTCTTTTTTTTTTTTTTCTTTTTTCTTTTTTTTTTCTTTTTTATTTTATCATGAACTCTCGTTTACAGTATTTTACGGTAGTGTTGGCCCGTCGACCGGCATCCAAAGCCGTAAAACCAACAAAAACTTAAGTTTTTAGTTTTTTAAAATTAAAAACTACACTAATTTAATATTTTGACTAAAAATTGACCGGGGAAGGGAATTCCCAGTCTCCGCCAAATTTTCCGCGGGGACGGGGATATGGACTATTTTTAATTCCCCGTCGGGGATGGGGACGAGGAGTATACTTCCCGCCCCGTTTCCATCCCTACTCTAAATATGGGTACTCACTTTCAGCCTTTCAGGTTTTAATTTTAATTTAGATGGTTCAGACCGCCCGATTAGCCCGACAACCCGAAGATTAGGGTTTGGGCCAAACCGAACTCGAAAATAAAATAATAAAATAACCGATTAGCCCGGCAACCCGACAGGGCTAGCCCGAAACCGAGCGAGCTGGCCCGATTGACATCCCTATGTAGGGATGGCAATGGGGCGGGGTGGGTGCGGGGGATATATGCCCCGCCCCCGCACCGCATTCCCAACCCACTACCCGCACTCGCACCCGCGCGGGTAATGATATTCCTACCTCATACCCGCCCCCACGGGGATTTTGCAGGTGCTGGTAATACCCAACCCGCAATTCTAATTATTAATATTACACTTAAATCTAATAAAAATTTTATACTACAATTCTAATTATCACATGTATATTTTTTATAAGTTTGAACGTAAATCTAAAATTTAATAAGAGCCAATGAAGTTAATCCTTAATTGGAACTAAAATTGTGTTGGTAGTATAAATTGAATTAAGTGTTTACTCATTATATTATTTGTGTTGTTCTTATTCAATTTTAATTAACAAACACTAAGAAGTTTAATTCGTTATGCATTTTTAATTAAAAAATATACATAAACATATATAATAAATGAATACTAATAACAATATATATAAGTGCGGGTGCGGGGCGAGGATACCTCCCCCCGCACTCGTCTC